GTTTCATATTGTACTTGTGAAATCAGATTCAGAACCACAGGTAGAGTCCGAACTGTAGGGCTTCTCGTTTTTCGAAAGGGGGCACGAAAAGTCGAGCTACAGTAAGTTTCATATTCATGAATCATACTTGCATAAAAAAAAAAAACCTTTGTATAATGGATAAAAGGAGAAGACGGATATATATGTATATGTATAAAGGTTGTACCTTCCCAAGGAAGAATCCTTAAACCAATCAAAAACTCTCTTTGCTTGGTAGAAACATAAAAAATAGACTACAAAAATCTTAAACTCTCCAAAAAGTTACTTTGCTAACAGCTACAAAAGCTATCACAAGCTACCATAAGCATCACCAAATCAATAACTATTAATGGTTCGCTCTAAACCAACAGCTATAACTTCAATTGGTGAGTTGTCCTCTCCATGGAATCACTCATTCCCAACGTCTTCATAAAGCTGAAAAAGTTAATAAACTCACCCCCTCTTTCCCGATGCAATCCCTTTATAAGAGAGCAAACACAACAAAACAAAAAACGCAAGCAAATTCATATTCAATTGCTAACACTTTCTTTTTAACTTCAACAACCCATTCTCTCTGAATGGCAGATGGGTCCGACAAGACTTTGTAAACTGTCCCGACATTGATTCCGGTTAGCTCCTTCATGGGTCCGACAAGACTCTGTAAACTGTCCCGACATCGGTCTGACACTGTCATCCAGTGTCCTCTACACCGTTATGACACCACCATACAGTGTCCTCTACATGGTTCTGACACCCCCATACAGTGTCCTCTACAACGTTATGACACCACCATCCAGTGTCTTCACCAATGGTCTGACACGACCATACAGTGTCTCTTATCCTCTTTTATTTTTATGTATTTTCTTGTTTTGTTACTCTCTCCAAACTCAAGTTGGTTAGTTCCTATCCCCTTTGAGTTTGCGGGGGGACTGTTAAAATTCACCTACTACACACCTACCACTACCACCTACTACACACTCACCTACTTCACCTACTCTCCACCTACACCTCACCTACTCCATACCTACTACACACTCACCTATTCTCTTCCCACATCCTCTCTTCTATATATAGGAATTATTGTAATATATCAATACATCAATCAATAATATACATCAATTTATTTTTACACCACCATAATATGAAGATGTGTAAGTTCAATTTCTCCCATTGTGTAGATTATCTGACACCAAGTAATTTGTTCTTTGCTTTTGTTAAGAAAAATATCCATCTCGTTAAATTTTACTCATCTGACTTTCCATGGTAGAGCTTCTTGAAATTGACAATTAGTGTTGGGGTTAAATTAATAAATGTACTATAAAAGTGATTTCTTGAAGTAAAAAGGATTTATGATATCCTTCACCCATGGAGACCTGAGATATCCTTCACCCATGATGACTTGAGATATCACTGAAGTTTTGACTCCCAAGGGACTACGAAGAAAGTGCTTCATCGTCTCTTATAATGGGCTTATGATGAAGGCGTCAACCGGCTTGTGGTCTTTGCCACTATGCATTGTAGTTCTATCCTTAATAGAAGTGTCGAAATGTCATTTAGTTAAGGTGTCTACATGCCACATTTGATGGTTATCATGTGGCAATCACTGGTGACATATATCATGGAGTTCTCAGGTGCCTATATAGTTGGGATTGCAACTATACAAAGTATATGCTAGAATAAAGATCAAAAAACTATATGTAATATATATATATATATATTTTTGGGTGCATTGGAATTGGAATACAAGCCGAAATAATAGCTAAAATAAATAAATTAAGACAACAAAAGAAGTTATCTGTATATGATTTTTGTTGAAAATGCATCACAAATGTAATTAAGTTCATCGTCTACTTACAATTTGGAAAATTTTCATTGATTTTGTCAATTCTATAATAAATAGATGTTATGACTAGGTAAACCATTGAAATTGATATATGTAGATTTTATAGGACTAAAAATGGATCTGCGGTTATGAAGAGGATTTTGATGTTGCTATAGCTTTTCTAGTGCTAAAGCTTCTTAGAGGACAATTTTATGGTCCACATCTAAGCACGTATACAGACACATGAAATTGATCTGATCTGACACAACACAAACATGTCTACATAACAATTTTTAAAAAAATCAAGACAAGGAGTGGGCAAGGACACACTAATATCATTTTTTTTTTTATAAATATATACATTTCCTATAGAAGCAAATTATCCATTTTGATCCCCATTTTATACCTTTTAACTTTAGCCCTGACCCTAGTTTGTCTCACGTGTGTCTAGGTGATAGTCCCACATGCATCCAAATGTGTCCTGTTTTAAAAGAAATTAAATTATGATAGAACTTCTTCGACATCAGCCCAAATAAGTTAATACAGTACAGTTCAGTCTCCATTTTTGTTGTTGTCTGTCAGTCAGTCTGTCTGTGTCTGTCTCTCGCATATGTATATAATATAGATAAAATTTTGTAGCTCATCTCTACTGTGTAATCCATGTCTGACTGTGATATATATTAGGTTATGAAACTGATTTATTCTCTTAAAATTACTAGTGCATGCATCACTGAGATGGCTTTTAACATTAGGTGCCATATTGGTTGTCATATGATTACCATCCAAAAGTACAGGAAAAACGAAAGGATCAAGGGAAATCAACCTGGAAAGGTCAAGCACAAAAGTGGTGAGTACCTTATATGTGTTACAGAAAACGCTAATACCATAGTAAACTACATATTTCTACGCACGTTCTGAAACGTGGTACACTTCTATTCCAAAAAGGTAAATTTAGTGATCCAAAACGGTACTCAAATTTTTTTTTTTTAATATATTTCCTTAAATGTTGCATTAGGAAAAAAGAAAATCAAATATAATGAATTAAAATCTATAGTGAGTTAAGTTTTGATGAGACAAAAACACAAAAAACGAAAAAATTAAATATATTTTATTGGATTCCTAGTAGTTAAAAGAAAATTACTCTAGAAGTACCTTAAATTCTTAAATATAATATATACAAGTCTATCCCTATTTTATCACATTTTAAAACATGCGGCATACCACGTTCCTGATTCCATTTTTGTTCCATGTACCGGAATGATTCACGTTCTAGATAACATAGTTTGAAGGGTGAAAGGCTGCATTTAAGGTTTGGGTTGGCAGTGGAATCAGACAAAATTTAAGATTATCAATTCCACAACCACTTTGAAAAATCATTTCAAAAACCTTTAAATAGATTTTTCATTACAGTTATTCATTTGGGATTTATTGCTCTCTACTTGTTCACTCATTCTTCTATTCCACGACCGGCCTAAAACTTTTGTAGTGGTTGTTGCTTGTGTTGTTGTTTGGAGTGAGGAAGAAAATGAGAAAATAATTGAAACTTATGAAGAGAATTGAATATGAATAATACGTATAAGTGGTTTGGAAGTACCATGAGAAAAAAAAAAATTTTAGGATTTAATATGTAAATTTATATTAGAGTATAATATGAATTAAAATTTTAATTTTAATTGGGCATATTGAGTTATTATTTGAGTTCAAATAGAATCACCCAACTTATTGTTATAAAATAGGAAGAAATTGAAAACACTTCCTAAAGCAAATCCACAAGGCTTTTGGAATCATGAGCAAAATAATGCGTACCGCTTGTTGAACAAAATTTATTTATTTTTGAATAAAAACTTTAAGATAGAGTTCTAACTTAATAGGAAATTTCAGGAAACGTGATTTTTTTTTTTTAAATTATAACAATCTTAACCCAAGAAAAAAACAATCCAACCATAACTACTTTCAATACAAAATAAAATTAAAAAAACACCTTTCAGTCAAAGTTTCAAATGAACAAGAATTTCATGGTTTGGCGCAACTTCAATCTCTACAATGTGATAATGAATTAATGAAATTAAAGTGAAACACAATTCAAACAGATCGAATTTTCATGAATTGAAATTGAAAGTTAAATAAGGTTAGACACACGGAAAACTTTTATTTATAAACATCAATGTGTGATTGAGATTTGTTCTAATTGTACATATAGAAAAGTCTAGTTACTATGAAAAATTGTCAAAAAATTTGCCCTGAATCAAGAAGTATTGTTGAGATTTAATTAACGTAGTATGAGATATACATGTAGAATGAATCCAAAGCAAGAAAATTGTCATGAATGAAGAAGTGTGGTTGAGATTCAATTGGTGTATGGTGAATCCACATGTAGAATGAATTGAACTACACTTTTTATGTAAAATTCTAAATACAATTATGGGTATCTTATTGATTTATATCAACACAGAAAAGTTCACAAGTAATAACTCTCAGATATCGTCAAATCCTATCATTTAATGGCTCATTAGTACTCCCTTATTTCCTATTGCTATCGTTAACGATATAATATAAAAATATAATATAATTTTTAATCTAAATATATTTAGAAACTATTTTTTTTTTGTGTAATTTTATTTTTAATTTTTTATGTTAAATATTATTATATTTTAAATATAAGAAAATATGAATAAAATACGAAAAATCAGTACATGTTCATATTTATTTGTATTTAGTAATTTTTTCACAAATATTTTACTTTTTAATTATATTTAGATTGGATATACATCTAAAAAGTATTATATATATATATATATATAATATAAAGAAATATCACTATCACTAATCACTAGGAATGAAAAAATATGAAATGAAAATCAATCAAAAATATGAAAAACACAAAATTGAAAATTTGTTTTCAAAAATGAAACCAAAGAAAGTTGTTATTTAGAATTTTGATAGCATACCTGGATTATTAGAGTACCATGCAAAATATACAATTCTAAAAATCTAAACAAAAACAAAGTATATAAAAATAGCCTGCGAATTCCTGAGATGCAAGATGAAACTAGATGTGTCTCTCTCTATGTAGATTCGAATAGATGCATACATATCTAAGATTTAACCCAAAATATTTACAACATTTTTTGTGTAGATTCGAACAAATGAATACAACTCTAAGATTCAACCCGAAATATTCACAACGGTCTAATCCATGATGGATAGTTGTAAATAATATGTACAACAGTAAGGAAATAGATAGAGGAAATAAGAAAGATTTTATAATTCAATAATCAATTCAAAAAATAGGGAGATAGATTTGTGTTATAGGACTTTTGGAAGGAGAGAAATAGAAAATTGATCATTTTAAATTGTTAAATAAATAAATGTTAATGTTAATTTTAAGAAGAAAGAAGACAGTTGATTTGTATAGGACTTTTTATGACTTTTGTGCATGATGCAATGGTTGAATTTAAATCCAAAACCTTTGAGAGGATATTTTCGGGATACGTAAAAAGTAGAAAACACTCAAACTTCTTCAGACTTTTAAAATAGTTGTAGATTTAATTTTTATATACTTAAAAACTATACAATTTGTACAAATAACTTTAAAAATTATTTTTCTATTTGGTGAATTTTTCAATTTTTTTATTAAAAATATTATACTTTTTAAGATAAATTACATTTTACCCCTTTTTATGTTTGGTCACTTTCTCACTTTGGGGTCTTAAAGTGTAATTTACCTTACTTTTTAAGTATATCTAGATTATGTGCATCTAAAAATGAAAAAAAAAAAAAACTTTGAGTAAAATATTAAAAACATTCACTAAAAAATAAAAAAAAATATGGAAAACAAAAAACTTAGGATCCGTTTGGTTTGGTTTTCAGAATCAATTTTTAAAGATAACTTTTTGAAAAGAGTTGGCAAATTTAAAAATTTGTTTGGTCGTATATTCTGAAAATTTGTTTTAAAATTTTTAAAATTAAAAAATCATTTTCTTTTTAAATTCTAAAATAATTTTTAAAACTCTACTTGATTTTGTAATTTTCAAAAATAGTTCATGAGTTTTAATTCATATTTTATTGTTTGTAGTAAATGTTTTAATCAATATTTTCCGATTTTTGGATCTATTCAATCTAAATACATTTAAAATGTATAAAATTTATGATTTCTTTTAAATATATATATTTAGTTTTTAGATCTTCTCAATTTAAATATACTTAAAACCTATAAAATTTATGAAAACTTTCTTTCAAACGATTACTAAATAATAACAAATGTGCAACAAAAAAAAATTCACTTTTTAGGTCTACTCCATTTAAATACATTTAAAAAGGATAAAATTTATCCAAAAAAAAAACTTTTAAAAAATCACTAAATATTAATATATATACAAAAAAAAAAAAAATCAGTTTTTAAATCCACTCAATCTAAAAATACTTAAAAAGTAAAAAATTTATGAAAAAATCTTTTAAAAATCATTAAATACTAACAAAAATACAAAAAAAAAAATAAAAATCAATTTTTAGATTTCGTTAATCTAAATACGCTTAAAACGTATAAAATTTATAAAAAAAATCTTCAAAAAAATCACTAAATACTAACAAATATACAAATATATATATATACAAATTGAATTTTTGGATCCACTCAATCTAAATACATTGAAAACATATAACACGTTTTTTTTTCCAATATTTTCACAAAAAAATTATTAATTTGAAATACAAATTCATTTTATTTTAAATTTTTCTATGAATTTACAGATAACTACTTTACAAAGTTTCATCTAAAGAAATTCGATTAATTTGAAAGGATCTCTGAAAGGGTGCTTTTGTAGGGACAAAATTGTGCTGAATTTGAAAAAGGTCTAGATTGTCTCTTGCTGGAGATCAAGATTGGACCATCTAGTCCGCTTTGTGGGCTTACTTTTGGGACCCACTTTGATGACCCACTTGATGATTCAAACCATTCACATTTTAGAATTCATTGAGTATATTATTCCTGTAAAAAATTAAGTCGATCGGATAACAAAAATTACGTGGTCGAATTAGTTTTGTATAAAAAAATAAACAGTAAAAAAATAAACAGTTCATATAAAACTGATTCGAATACATAATTATTGTTATCTGATCGATTTGATTTTTTACAGGGGTAATGTACTCGACGAATCTTAAAATGTGGACAGTTCAGATTATCGAAACAAGGCTACAAAAACAAGCCCACAGTGCAGACTAGACGGTCCAGTCTTGATCTCCAATTGGAGAAAAGCTGGATGCTTTTGAAAATAGAGAAAAATTTAAAATGGTTTTAGAAATAGAGATAAATAAATGAAGTTTCCAAAATCCAAACCAAATCGGGCTCACTTTTCATATTTCCAAAATCCAAACCAAATCGGGCTCACTTTTCATAAAAGTGAGTTAAAAATTGTCTAATGAACTCTAATTTCAATTTCAAACAGAAAACAAAAGAGATTTATGTATCTGCTTACGTAGAATAGAACGAGCACGAGCAGCACAAACAGCACCACCATAATCGCAACTCTGCGGTTGAAATTCTGGCCTCGCACAAAGAAGTGTTGTAATAATTCCCAACCCAATTTGGTCACAACAGGTTTGTAATTCACCAAAACTTCCCTCACAGCAGTCACTCCAATTGCATTGTTAATGGGGAGAATATTTACTTCATCTTCAGAAGTGGGAAGTGTTGTAGTGTGATGGTTCTCGGGCATTATATAGTTTAGAAGAAAATGTTCAACCCCTGAGACTGAAGCTAATATATCCCAATGAGGCTTAAGCCCCTAGGTTATATAGCTATATAATATATCCCAAACAATGGATATATAGCATGGAGGATTAGCTACG